AGGGGTCAACGTTTCATTTAAATAATACAAAATTTTAGATGTTGACATTTGTTTTAAATTATATATAATATTAACACTTTGAATGTCACGCCAGTTTTACAGAAATTTAGATGTTGACATTTGTTTTAAATTATATATATATATATATATATATATATTTTATATATTTAATAATATATATTTATTTATTTGTTTTAAATTATACATATATAATTTAAAACAAATGTCAACATCTAAATTTCTGTAAAACTGGCGTGACATTCAATGTGTTAATATTATATATAATTTAAAACAAATGTCAACATCTAAAATTTTGTATTATATATATGGACCGTTTATTTTGAAAGTGGTGCAAGTCCACTTTCTTTCGTTTCGAGAAAATTGAATGTTAGCAGATCTGACAATTAAAAAATATAGGTTAATTATGTGAAGTCTGGGAATGTTTGTACTAATTTATCAATATAAAATTTGATTATAGAAATTTCTTTCAGACGAATTTAACTAAAATAATATACAATTTTCAGGCTGCAAATGGACTTACACCACTTTCATAATTAGTCAATTGTAAATATCATTTAATTTCAATTTTGAAATAACAAATATCACTTAAAATATATCTCATATTAATCCAATTTTGTTTATAAATAATAACAAGAAATACAATAGGATTAGCATTTTTTATTTTGAACGTTAATTATATTTATATATTGTTAAACTTAACACAAGATATTGGTATTATTAATTATTTATGCTCTTCATGTGGCAGTGTTTTGAAATATTCATGACGCACAGGAGGTATATAAGGTAATAGCTGCTGCATATCCTTATATTTTTCGTATGTAATAGGCTTTGGCATCGTGATGGAAATTGGGCTTACACCACTTTCATAATCAATGGTTACGCAATTTCCTTTACCGGCCAATTTTAAATTGAACAAAGCATTGACATTTTTTAAGATATTAAATACTAACTAGTTATAAACAAAAAGTTTACACTAAATTAAGCATAAATTACGTCATATCTCATTTTTTTAAAAAAAGGACTTACACCACTTTCAAAATAAACAGTCCATATATATAATTTAAAACAAATGTCAACATCTAAATTTCTGTAAAACTGGCGTGACATTCAACGTGTTAATATTATATATAATTTAAAACAAATATCAACATCTAAATTTCTGTAAAACTGACGTGACATTCAACGTGTTAATATTATATATAATTTAAAACAAATGTCAACATCTTAAATTTTGTATTATTACACATATATTACATTATTACATATATATATTTCTATCAATTTGGACGCGCCGATCACCGGTGGCCCCTATGACGTCACCGCCAAGTTAAGTGCCGGTCACCGATGACCCCTGTGACATTCAACGTGTTAATTGGATTCTTAGAGAAATAAAACTTGTATATATATATTAGAGTAAAATAGAATAAAATAATTTATATCCAATGAATGTTTTTACGAAATTGCAGCAAACATTGACATCGTTTCACTCCCAAGTACTCTTGTTGCTACAAAAACAATATTGAACAAAGTTTGACAATGTTTGATATCGAATAAAATGTTTTACTTAATTACAAATTGCAATGGTGCCAAAAGTAGTAGAAAAATGGGATGAAATGAAATAGAATGAAACGAACAATGGAGTGTCTCCAAGGAACATGAGGTTTCGAGTAGCGGGCAGTCACCAAAAAAGCGAATAGCGGCGATATTGGCAAGTCAGCCACCCAATACAGGGAAGTCTGTGAAGGAAAGGAAAACTTCTCTCTTCGCATAACTTCTTGATGTAATCGGCTTTTCATGTTCGAGGGAACTTGAGCATGAAAAGGCGACTACACCGCTCGAGAAATACGATTCCGATTCAACTTACTCGGCAAAGTTAAGGAAGGAAGAAGATGGCCGCAATGGTTGTCTGTTGAAGGGCAGAGCAGCGTTAGTCAGAGATAAGAAGCCTGTACACGAAACAGACCCTGAAGAACACACGCGACAATGCACCTCTCGAAAAAAGCCTCTTATCAAGGTTAGCACCGCGCAACGCAGAGTGGCAAATTCTGACAAAACCAGTTTACAGAAGTGGCGCTGCTCGATCTCGTTAGACACAAAGAGATCTCTAAGGTGAAGAGCCTTGGGACCTTTCGATTTCAACTTGAATCGTGGAGTCCTCGTGAGAGTTTTCAGGCAGCAATACTGTGCTGAGCTGAATCTTGATAGTCTCAATACAGAGACTGGAGACTACTGGAGTCGAATATAATTCTTTTGCAGTAAGTACAATACTTGCTGTCAATGTCCTCGGCGAATCATCAATTCGGAAGCCAAATTCAGAAGCCAATTTTCTTTGAAAATTTCTTTCCTTCAATTTTTTTCGAAAATAGGTCACGCAGTGCAAACACATCTTTATCGTAGATATCGTAAATAGCAGCACTTAGATTGGCCATTGAATGACTAAATGAATTAGTTAAGTTACTTCTCCTTCTTTAAAAAAAGCATCGACATTTTTCTTTCCTTTCCCATCTAGTTAAGTTTATTTGTATGTCATCTTATAGACAAAAATTGTACTTTACGTGTGGAATTGTTACATTTTTTCAGCTTTGCAAAATCCTTCAGAGCTGTCGGGCTAACCCTTTGCACTCAAAGCCATTGGAACTCTAAATCCAAGATAGTAACTCAAATATCCGTTCCTTCGATATAAACTTTGGCGATGTAAAAATTAGTTTAGAACGTAATATAACAATTTTCAATGGTGCCCGAAGTCCATACATGAAGCAAGCGATCAGGGAAACTTCGCTACTGAAAGGCAGCATCTTTTTTAGCAACAGGACAAATACGTACATGATTCCTGTTTACGTAACTACTATATTTCCTACGTCCGTTGAGGTCAACTCCATTTCCAAATAGTCTCCAAATGTCAATTCCATCAGGATCACCTACAGATCCGAAAGCCACTGTCTCCATGAATGAAACGAAAACAACGGGCATCGGAAGCCCACCGGACTCGTGAAAGTTCCTCAACAATTCAGATCCACCGAAAGCCCCCGAATCGAAGTTCGTCGAAATTTGCATAGCAAATATTACCTTCATCCGAGGTTTGCTGAAGCTTCGCTGGAATTACCTTTGCAACGACCATCAGTTCGATCCGAGACCCTTCTCGACGCTAGGTTGGGTCATTTCATGTAGTTAAGTTCGGATACGAAATCTCGCGTGCGCCTATTGTTTACGGTGTATTAAGAACTTTCGTCTTTCATACTTTCTTCGGAGTAGAAACCTCTTGTCTGAATGCTCGACTTATGTCCAAATGCTGAAGGTCGAACAAGGGCTCCCGTGACGCTAAGTATTTCTGTAGAAGGGCAAAGAGTGATCTTATCTTGGCTGTCCAATCGAGAAGAATTGCAGGATATTGCATCTAGCGGAATATTGTAAAAATAAATGTTCGGATAAGAATACACATGCTTCCGCATTTTCAAAGAGATCGAATTAAGAAGTTTCGACTTGATGAACTATAGGTATCGAACACGACTCTGGTCAAAAATTCAAGTGAAACTATGTACCTGCTATATTCTTTACCACAATTGGAACGTTTAACACTAGATTTACGGGACCCATCGAAATGACGGGTCACTAATTTTTTAATTTACGATTATTCATATCGTGAAGATACATTTATGAGTTATTTATTCAATTTATATGTTACAATAACACTTGTTAAAAATCAGAATAAATGTCTTATCGTTACTTTTACAAACTAGTATAAAACAGCTGTTTTCTGTGCTCCGTAAATCTAGCGTCAAGAGTAATTTTATTCGACAACGGAGTACGAAAGCAGACGTGCGTGCTGAAGTACTTACATAGTTTATGCGCAACGTAATCTTAGAAGTGTCATATGCAAATAAGTAACTTGGCAATTGCTATATATGTATTCCACGCTCAGAATTCGTGAAATCTAATAGTTCACAAACAGCACTTCATCAGAGTAGTGTGCCACTGTCACTATGCCCTTAGAATAATTTTGCTTATATTTAAAAATAACATTTTTAAATTAAAGATATTGAATTGTTTAAATAAAATTTGATCTGTAATTTTCATAGTCGAATCAAAACTTTAACTTCTTAAGACTTATAAAATGCGAAAACTAAGTTTTTAAATTTCTGATATAAGGTTTGATGTGCTTTTGCCTTGATCTTGTGGCAACGCTTAAGAAACACATTACAAATAAAGATGAAAAAAGTACAAAAGTGTTGCTAGAAAAAAAAGACTCTCTGTCCAGTTCGTCGTGGAGTAAACGTCGAAAATGTAATCATCGTAGGGTTTGAGTCCTCTCGAAGTTAGCTCTACCGTAGAATTTCCACGGCGGCCACCGCACTAGTCGGAAAAAAGGAACCTTCAGACCTAGGCAAGCCTTCCAAAACACCGAATGTTTAGACGAAGAGATTACAAAGAGGATAATTGTCTAGCACCGAGGGAAGCTTACAGGCCGCAGTGCCAGGTGTGGCTGCAATGTTCGCGAAACTTTGTAATTAGTAATTGTGGCAAGGGAGACAGAGAGTCACGAGACGTTGTGTACACGATCTCTTAAAAATAGATACACATTGACGTTTCTGCTGTCGTGTCATGCACATGTGGGTGACGGAATTGATTATTCGCATTTGAAAATTATGTTTTACGATAATCTGTTATACATGTCTTCCTCATTTTATTAGAATTAGCAAAGCGTAAGAATGTTGAAAATATGATTGATGTCACACAACTTAAACTTTCAATGTCAATTTGATTACTGTTCAGAATGTAATTCATGTCATATAATTCAAATTTTCAATTTTAATTCAAATTTTAATCAATTACTGTTCAGAATGTAACTGGTGTTACACAACTTAATATTTCAATTTTAATTTGATTACTGTTGAAAATGTCATTGATCTCATACAGCTTAATTTTTCAATTGTAATTACTGCAGAAAATGTAACCGGTGTCACGTAACTTAACTTCTCAATTTTGATGTCGTTATTCTTCTGAAAAGAATTCATATAATACAACTTAACGTTCCAATTTTAATTTAATCATTATCATTAAATGTTGATTGTGCAGGGCGATGTGCGCGAACGTGAAATTCTTCAACATATGGACCATTTATTTTGAAAGTGGTGTAAGTCCTTTTTTAAAAAAAATGTGATATGACGTAATTTATGCTTAATTTAGTGCACACTTTTTGTTTATAACTAGTTAGTATTTAATATCTTAAAAAATGCCAATGCTTTGTTCAATTTAAAATTGGCCGGTAAAAGAAATTGCGTAACCATTGATTATGAAAGTGGTGTAAGTCTAATTTCCATCACGATGCCAAGCCTATTACATACGAAAAAAATAAGGATATGCAGCAGCTATTACCTTATATACCTCATTATTTATATTATATTATTACTATTACCTTATGTCCATCATGAATATTTCAAAACACTGCCACATGAAGAGCATAAATAATTAATAATACCAATATCTTGTGTTAAGTTTAACAATATATAAATATAATTAACGTTCAAAATAAAAAATGCTAATCCTATTTTATTTCTTGTTATTATTTACAAACAAAATTGGATTAATATGAGATGTATTTTAAGTGATATTTGTTATTTCAAAATTAAAATTAAATGATATTTACAATTGACTAATTATGAAAGTGGTGTAAGTCCATTTGCAGCCTGGAAATTGTATATTATTTTAGTTAAATTCGCCTAAAAGAAATCTATGTAATCAAATTACATATTGATAAATTAGTACAAACATTCCCAGACTTCACATAATTAACCTATATTTGTTAATTGTCAGATCTGCTAACATTCAATTTTCTCGAAACGAAAGAAAGTGGACTTGCACCACTTTCAAAATAAACGGTCCATATGTGCTCCAGACAAAATGGTATTATCATTTCGCAAGCTATAATAACGAGTTCTCGGAAAACAAACTTTCTTCCATCGTAGTAAAAGTTGCATCGATCCTGCAAAATATCTGAAACTTGGGGTCGAAGTTGAAGTCGTACAATTAACCTTTCGCCGATGTTGAGAAAGATTCTGAATGGGTTCAGTAACTACTTGCAAAACGACTAACCGCGTTATTGCTGGATTCAGTTCACAGCTTTCACCGGTGGCTTGTATTCAAAGTGATTCACAGAAACTGGAGATTGTTCCGAAAACTACTACCTGCTCTTGCTGTGTAGATGCTTATCGATTGACGGTTGACTATCTTGCTAACTGCGCGGTTGCGATTGTTCCTAGACACAAAGTGTATATTGGCGACGGCGGCTGCCCGCAGGGACCTCTTCAAGCGACTACAACCTTGTCTTTGTCACGGCTTGGAAGCCCTGTTCAACATGAAATTATTTCGAAACTTGCATTCTGCATCGATGAACTATGTATAACGTCTATAGACAAGGAATCTCGAAAGAAATTCATAATTAGTTATGATAAGTACACTCGAATTTTTTCTATATAGATTTTTGTGTTCATTTCGTAATACGTTTGTAGCCATAATGTATTTTAATGTAATTTTTTAATACAATAATAATTTAATGTAATGATACTTTGATATAATATTATTTTAATGTAATAAGTTTTACTAATTTGATTATCTGGATAGAAAATAAAAACTTTCTAAGTTAGTTGTAAACCAAAATTAATCACAAATGTACAAATGTATCTCTTATTTTAATAATGTTAATAGATTGAGAAGAAGTTAACAATGCCTGAAATATTTCTTTTATACGTTTATACCTTAGTGTTTTATCTAATCATTTTTGTCATTAGGCTGAGGATCTTTATGCCAAAAAAAGGTATATTAGACAATTGCAGCAAACATGAGTCCCATCAAAATTTCTTTCTTTAATAACTTCGTGGAGTAGAAAATAATCCCGGAATTCTGTTGACATTTTCATTATTTTAAATGTCAATCACCCATTTTCGTCATAAATGAATAAAATCCGAAGTCCACTAATCCATGAAACATATTTCAGAAAGTAATTTCGTTTTTCAAAAAGCCTTTGTATTGTACGGGTGTTAAAAAAAAAGTACTTCGATTCGGTATTTTGCCAATAAAAAACAGGACCTCTGCGAGTGTAAGATTTCAAAGCTACCAGAGAATGGTAGCTACCGTGTACACGAAATAAACGTTAAAACATCGTGTTACATTTTCTCGTGGAGGAACGAAATTACTTTCCGAACAATCCAATAATTTCAAAAATAGCATCACGATATAATTGAATGTCAAATTTTATGCATGACTGCGGAGTATCGCGTTCGTCGAACCAAATGCAAATTATATATATACATATAGACTTTCGACCCGATAACTGATCCCTTATTTCCTCGCAATAACGAGATGTGTGTCCACAAGAATGCGTGTCCACCCACCGCCGGTACAGTTCCCTATGAAATCAGTTTCGCGTATCGAGTTTCGCCATCGAATCGCTCGCGCAACGACACCACTCATATTTTCCTGGTTGCGTGGGCGAAATAAATCGAATTTGCCACACCTGAATGGACGTCATTACTATGCGCCGGTATCCTCATGTGGTCAATCTAATTTCTCATAACTGGTCACGTTTCATCGGTAACGTAACTGCGCATGCACTGCTTTTACGAAACATTTCCTTCCGCGCTTGTTATAATTGTCAGCCGCAAGCTTTCGAAATCGTCAAGGGAGATAGTAATTACGACCATCGAGTGGGATCCGTAATTATTCGCTTAGCTGGAACGCGCAGCCAGGTAACAGAGCAATTTCCACGGGAAACTCTAAATGTCATATCGTTTTCGCGATGTTGCGTGTATGTTCTGTGTTCGTGTGGTCTCGCGACGATTCCTTTTCGTTGTACGTTCCTGCTCACGTGCATCCTATCAGAATGATCGTGACCGCTCGCCAACCGTCCGTCAGTTCGACCGAATATAATTATTTAATTAGAACGGTATTAATTGCTTATCCACCGCGATACAAAGTCACGCCGCAGCGAGTATGAGCGAGGATTATGATAATATTAACTAGACGTTTTGATTAATTACGTTTCATTGTTATCGTACGAACAACTGGTGCGCTGGTTCTCTTTTAACATAAACTCATAATGCGGACAATAATATTTTTGTGCAAGGCATCATAAACAAGAATTAATACAAGCAAAAATAATAAACACTACCTTTAACGACAATCGATCACAAAAGTATTTGGATACCTGCATTTTAATCTTCGTGATTCATGTTTTACCTTCACGTACAAAGTATTAAATGAGCCGTTTATTTTGAAAGTGACATAAGTCACTTTTTCAAAAAAATCGAGTTAATGGTAACACTAATTACAATTGAACGGTATCTTTTCACTCTAAAAAAATTTGCAATCAATAAGTTGAGAACTATTGAGATTTGTTCGAGAGAAGTTTTGCTAATTAACGGTATAACAAACGTGTTTATTTTGAAAATGATGTAAGTCGCTGTACTCAGGAAATTAATTGCGGGGCTTAGTGTAAAAGAAATAGAAACGTGTGATAAGTGTGTGTGAAGTATTGTTTTGAATTATTTTCAGTATTTTTAAAAAAGTTGTGATCACTGGACTTATTTTTATAAGTGCGACAGAA